TTGTGACAGATACAAGTATTGAGTCAATTAAAAATTATAATAAACATATTAAAGTATTTCATAAAATTGATTAGTTTGTGCAATCTTTTGATGATAAATTGTTTATTATTATGAATTACTTACGAAAATAAATTATATTATTACAATGTACAAAAAATTAAATGAAGTCAAACTTGAGTATAGTGATCTAGAAAATCAATATTAGTTTACTACTAATTGTTTGGAAATATGTGAATTTGTTTAATTATATTATAAAAAAGAAGAATGTAGTACATGGTAAAAGTTTTATGATACTAGTTATAATACTTTTACTGAAAAAGAATTATCTGAGTTACTCAAATATAGTTTTTGCTTTTTTGATATAAAAACATCATCTAGAGAGTATTAAATCTTGATTAGTTATAATGTAGTTAAGTTTAGAGCCACTCTATGTAAAATTCTCTCAATTATTAATAAAACTCTCAATATAGTGAATTTTTATAAAATTCTTTACTATAACGAATGTGAATGCTATTATTTGGATTACATCTTTGAAATGTGATAGTTTGGCTTTATCATGATGAGCACAAATCTAACAAATCTAGGAATACGATTCAAACAATCAAATATTCTTTAATCGCAATATTTTATAAGCATAATGTAATCAAAATGGCTCTGATCCAGTACATATGTAATAATTATATATACATTACAACAATCAGCTACAGTATTACTCGCTCTATAAAATTAAATATTTGTACAAGTATTTTGAAATATGTTAATCAGAATCAAGTGCTTTTTATACCATTCAATTTGTCTTGGTGAGATGATTCAAATGGCATAATAATCATTAGATTCCAATTAATAAACCAAGTGTTATCTTAAAATTTATTTGATCTGCCACTTTACCCCCTCCACCAAATTATCCCCCTTTACCTTATATATAAGCTTATTATCTTTTTATAAAATTATCAAGCGCTCTATTGCTCAATGAAATTTTCTTTGACCATATCAAAAAAAAATAAATTTTTTTTCTTAAAGGCAAATGTATTTTATTTTAAGTTTTAATACTGTAATATTTTTAGAGAATTGTTAATACCACTCTAGGGTGTTCAATAAACTAATTGATCAAAACTTAGTTAGGATCATATATGGGACTCTACATAGCAAAATGGTGTATTGGGCCAACCAATCAAAATTTGAGATTTTAGATTAATGATTTGCTAATAGATCTAGTTTTTAAATATATATATATTTATTGAATATGTTAATAAATAGTGTTCAAATCCGTGATTTTCTTTGTTGCATTACAGTAAAATTTGAAAGAAAATCAATTTCTATATACATACATATATACGTACGTATATATGTACTGTATAGCAATAGTACAATTATATGAATTATACATGATCTGCAATATTACTTATTCATATCTCTTAAGTCCTGAAGTTGTAAAGTGTATTAGTTAATTGGCATGCATGTATATACATTTGTATAGTATGTACGTATATATATACAATACAGATACAAAGAATGTAAATGCTAAAGAAATTTATAAAAATTTTTACATTTTTTTCTTTTAGCAAAAATTTTAAAGAATATGGAATATAATGTATATTCTAATAATAGTGGTATAAATGAAATTATTATTGCCACCTTAGAAGATTTAGATAATACTTTTTTTGTAGAATATTTAGATTCTAAAAGTGAAGAAGAATCCAACTCTTTATCAGATATTAAACTACCGTCTGAATTTGATGATGACATTCCTTTAAGTAAATTAAATAAATTTGATTTTATAGATGTACTCGATAACTACATTGAAAATAAAATTTATGATAAATTAAAATTAAAAGTTTAACAGTTTTTTGAAAAAAATAAGTATTTATGTCATATTGAGCAAAATTGTTTTAAAAAAATTAGCTATAAAAAGTTTCTTGTACATCAGGTAAAATTTGAAAGCCTAGATAAAAATATGTGTGATATGGTCATAAAGGGTCAGCTTATGGCTTTTCAAAAAAGTGATGATACAAAAAAAGTTGCTAATAAGGATAGAAAATATTTGCATTTTAATTATTGTTATAACAACAATATTCTGGTTTGTCGTGATATATATTTAGCTCTGGCGGGCATTAGTTATACATATCTAGAAAATTTAAGATGATATTTACAAGAACATGGTCTTGAGGAGTGTATACATGGCAATACAGGAAGAGCTCCAAGAAATATGAAACATATCGAAGTAAATTATGAAGTAGCATGTGATGTATTTAGATTTTTAAAAAATTATTTCAATATGCATAGTATGCCTTCACCTAGGCAAAATTTCAACTGAATTTCTATGCCAATTGTGTTTCTTCTAATCAATTTTAGTTATGTATCAGTATATTGCAATTATGTTGAAGCTTACAAGAATAAGCATTAAGAAGATATTCATGTTATATCTAAAAGAACTTTTGTTAATATTTGGAAAATTTTAATATCATTGCTTTAATTTATGTCATCTAAGTCTAATTTGTGTGAAACTTGTAAAACAGTGAAAATGAAAATTCAATATGCTATGCAGTATGAAAAGAAATTAGAGTTTACTAATAATTATTTAGCCCACATAAATTATGCACAAAAAGAATATGATTATTATAATCTTAATATTAAGAATTTGATTGAAGATGGCAAACGTAATCAAAATATAATTAGTTCTCAAATGTCTTTTAAAACCTTTAATGAAACTGCATATATCACATATAATTGGGTCCAGAATATATAAATACCATACTCACCACAGCAAATAGGTTTTTTGTTTTTTAAAAATCCTTGCAAAGTGCATTTATTTGGAGTATGTAATACTGGTAACTTTTTACATATACAACAGACCAACTACATAATTGATGAAGCTAAAATGCCTGATGATAGTAAGCAAGGCAAAGGTATAAATAGTACTCTAAGCTTAGTTTAGCATGTAATTCAAAAATATAATCATCAAGAAAACAAATTAGTTGTTATATGTGACAATTGTATAGACCAAAATAAGAATAATTATTCATTATTTTTTATTCTTGGTTAATTACTATAATATGTATAATAAAGTTGAGCTAAATTTTATGATACCTGGACATATAAAATTTATCTGCAATAGTTGCTTTGGTTTAATTAAAATTCTTTACCAAAAAAGTAAAATAAATACTGTAGATAATATAGTCTTAATTATTAATCATTCTACTTTAATTAACTTCAATATAGCTCAATGTTACTTGAATGGAGAAGGATTTTAATATTATAATTTTAAAAATTATTTGGAAGCATTTAAAAAATTACCAAATATTCAAAAATATTATCACTTTTATTTTACTTTACAAAATCTCAGAGTTGTTTGTTACAAAAATAATCTTGATGATGAAACAAAAATTTTACAATCCATTTTTTTTTTAATGCAAATATCTTACCCTCTACAATTAATATCAAGTCACTTTCTTTAAAGAGGCAAAAAGAACTATATAAAGAAATTGCACCTTATGTAGACTTGCCTTTTCATAATATTACTTGCCCTAAACCAGAATATTCGGAATGTTTAGAATATTCAGAATAAAGTAAGTTAAAATCTATAAAATCTATTTTTATTAATTGTGTAAATCAATATACTTTACTATACTGGGCTTAACAAAAGAAACTTTAGTTTATACTAATTTTATCTTTATATAAACATAGTTTATATAAGCTTAAGTGTTAGAGTTCTACATGTAAGTCAAAATACTATTAAATATAATAAATACTAAGTATAAGTGTAAATCACTATGTTTAATAATGCTGTGCCCGGCACTTGTTAAATTTAGTTTAAAATAAATATAGAAAAGAATAAATATCTAGTTTCAAGATTTTTTTATGAAAAAATATAATATATGTATTAAATAAAATAATTTAGTATAGAATATAATAAGGTGAAATCTTAGAAATGCTGAAGAGAAATAGAATAATAATTATAACAATAAGTATTAGTAATCATGAATGGTATGTAAAATATAAAGACCAATTATTAAATAAAAGCTTCAAGTTTTAGGCTTTTACATGTTATAAATAATAAAAATATATAAAAAAAATTAATTTAAAAAAATAATTGCTTAAAAAATTTATTTTAATTATAAATGCTATTTTTTAAAAAATTTATTGCAAATCACATAACAAACTTAAATCGTGATTTTCTCATAATCATGTAATTTCTCAATACACCGTTTTGCTGTGTGAGGTCCCATATGATGATCATTAATTTCAGATTTTTTAAAGAGTTATTTTACATATAAATTTGTATTAATTTAGGTACATTTTTTTACACAACCAATAAACAAAATTGTATATATTTTTTTTAAAAACTGTAGTTTAGCTTTATACTGTAACAAAATTGGTTTTTTAATAACTTTTAATAAAACTTTGGATTAATTTTTATTAATAATTAACATAGATTATTAAAAAAACCAGTTCTTTTATAGTGTAAAGCTAGTCTAGAGCTACAGTTTAAAAAAAAAATATGATATATTTTGTCTATTAGTTGTATAGAAAAATGTATCTAAATTAGTACAAATTTATATATATGAAATAACCCTTTAAAAAATCTAAACTTAATGAATTAGTTTATTGAACACCCTAACACCACCTCCATTTTTGTTAATGCCACTCCCCACATGACTAAAGCTGATCTCTGGCCTTAGTTGTGTAGCCCAATATGAAATATTATACAAACTCAAATTGCCAATTCATGTTTATACAACTTCTACTTATTGAAAAAAATGCTATGCTTATAAATATTTATAAATCAAGCAATTTAAATACAATCTAATTACACAAAATCAAAATAATTCTAATGCAAGCTATATATTTTTTATTATATTTTCTAACATATGTATGAAATAACTGTTTATTGGCATTCACCTCCTATTTTTTAATTTGTATTTTTAACTATCTATTGATATAGCATTCGTATATTAAATGGCAAATTTAAATATAGTACATATGTATGTACTAGTTTAAATCTAGTTTATGCAACTATACAAGATAGGAGTGCTAATTAGATATATTAGGGCAGATTCGACAATTGTGACCAATTTGGTGGCATGTACCACATTGTCATATATGCTATTTTCAACATACTCAAATTCTAATAGTTCTCTTTGATTTGTTCTTTTGTTCTTGTTTTTAGCACCAACCAGCCTTTCTTGTGGTTTAATAATAACCGGGTCTTCTAAAACAACAGGAGGTGCATTTGCCAATTTTTCTAGCTGAAAATAGATAACAGCTTGTTGATGTGGTGGCTATTGTTGGTATCTTTGTGCAAGATGTTGGAGAAGAGGCTTAAGATTTATACAATCATTATTAATAAGGTATATAGGTTTCAAAAATTCTATATAATAGCCCTGAATTTGCTAGTGCTTATGGATATTAGCTTGCTGTAATGCTTGGTCAGTTGCTAGACATTTATTAATCACATGTGAGCAGGAGAGTCCAATTGTAGATTTAAAAATTTCTGTGCAAAGTTTTAGAAGAAAGTTAGGAGTTGTATTTGATACTTTGATTAACTTATTCTGAATCTTATTCAAGATGAAAGCAAAAACATGATATAGAAAAAGTTCGAACAAAGAGATTCTGTATATATGTTGTACCTTTATGCATTAAGAGAAATTGTTACACAGATCTCTCTTATTTGAGACTCTATTTGTAATATAATTTTTTAGTACACAAACTCAAAATTACCTAAATAGATATTATAATTTTTTTTAAAAAAAAAAGCTTTAAATAATCATAATATATAACAACAAAGTTTAAATTATTTACTATTTTTATTTGTAGATAACTGTAAGCACTTTTTAAGGGCTGCACAAGAAGCTTTCACTTGTGAAGTCACTATATTACCAAGATATAAATAACAATTAGTCCAAGTAAAAATAAAATGCTCCTTGTATAGCATTCAGGTCTCTTGAATATACTTTAAAACTTCAGGTTTGTCTATGTAATATGTTAAAAATTTGATCCATTTTGTTGTAAATTCTTGCTCAGTATTTGATATTGCTACTATTTGCTACATTTTTATGAATTCAGACCAATTCTTATTCATGATAAAATAATACTAAACTTAGCAAGAATATTTTTATTTATGTGCTATATATATAGTATAAGTCATGTGCTAGAAAAAACCTTATTAACAGCTTTCATTAGTACTAATTCTCAATCAATAACAATAACTCTAGAGCAAGAAGATCCATTTAAAATTTTTAACACACAAGGCCTACTCATAGTCAGCTTCTGTTTCATTACTTAAAAAAGCGAAACAGGAAAAAATATTGTATTAAAGCTTTATACCCCAACTATGTTCATCAGAGACATTTTATATTTATTTGTCTTGTACATGCAATCTATCAACAACACAGTGGGATAGGTATGTATTAATGCAATGAAGATTCTATGAGCAAAAAAGAAATGTGTTACATGGTTTGGTAATCATATTGATATTCAAATTCAAAGTCAAAGCCTTGTAATTCATTTAGAAAAGCTTGAACTAGTATATAATCTTTAAGCCTTTTTTGATAAATAGAATGCAGAATATTGTAAATTGTCCTAAATATAGCCATTGATAATGAATTATTTTGGTGTATAATTGACAAGATTTGATAGGAATGAGTACTAGTAGCAGCATTTGTTGAACCAACTCCTTTGCTCATCATTTAACCTTCTAACAATCAAATGACCAGATATTTCTGTTAATGCTTCATAGTTATGCTCAGAATTCTGAATCTCAAGGTGTCAAAAATTATTATGTCAGATTCCAAAAAGTTCAAATAAACAATTTATAAGCTTTGAAGCTGTTTTTCTACAGTGCGAATTATTTGTAAAATTTGATCTGTTTCTATATAGCTCACTTCTGTCACAGCCTAATTCTATATTTTTTATTTCACCCTTCAAATCTGATCATAATTTCTTAGCATATCCTTGAGCTTTATAAAAGGCACAAATGTATTCAACAAGCTCATTATATATTGTAAATTGATTAAGTGGAGGTGGATTCATACTTAATAATGCAAGGTTGAAGTATAAGTTTTAACTTAATATAATTTTAAGTCTTAATTTTTTATCAAAATGCTCACTTTTTTTTTTAGTTTCACTAACAGATTTTTGTAGTATTTTTTTTTAGTTTCGATAACTAATTTTGTATTTCTTTTTGTTCTACTAAATAATTTTTGTATTTAGGTTTATAAAATAAATAGTTCTTAGGTTTTTAGATTTCAAGTTTTAATGATGAAAAAGTGAAAATACAAAAAAGTGAAGAGAAGGAGATTGATTATAGTATGATTATATATTCTATTTATATTTTAAATTACATTATACATGCTAGTGGTGTTTAAAATAATCCAATCACAGATCACTAGCGACAATTTATAGAAGTAATTAAAATTAGAAATAATGAAAGAATAAGTATTTTATATATGTTTATAAATTTTAAGTTACAGATTTTATAACCTTTATATTTTACTAAAGATAAATTTGATCAGGTATATTGTTGATAGTCAATTCGCAGGTATAAATGAGTTTGATCAAAAATAAGCCATAATCTAATCATAAATTAATCTTAACCGGTTTTAGATTATTGTTACTAAAAATAACTAGCCAAAAGTTTAATTGAGAATTACATTAACAATCCCTTGGTTCAATTCGTTTTTGACTAAAAGTAAACTAAATTTACAGGATTCATGATTCAATTTTTAATTACAATTTGCAATAATGATAAATAAACATTTATGCAACGATTATTAAAGCTGTTATCAACTATAAATTAATGTCTGCTTTTATTTCATTTAATCAGTATTACTAGTGGTGTAATTTGATACAGACTATAAGTTTATATAAAAAGTGTGTTTATGCTCTATAACTAGTCACATGAATTACAAAATTAAGTACAGTAGTACCTTGAAGTTTTGATTATAGTCACATGACCCCAGCACTAATATCATCTAGGCCAGAGACAGAGACAGTGAATAATATCGATTTGTATTGATCATATATAAACTGATATTTTTAGGCCAAATCATAGAGAAATCGATATTTTTGCAAAGTTTAATGCAGTGCAACTATATGTATTTGGGCAAAATTAAAAGTATAATTTGAGCCGGCAATTTAAATTTGGCCAACTTGAACCGTCAATAAGTTTCGGTAAAGTAGACAATCAATAAACATGCCAGAAGAAGAGAAATTTCAGTTACTGATCATGTTATCTGCGACAGTTGTACAAAATTTTGTATTCTAATTGGCCAATCATGGGTATATCGATGTAAATCGATATTTTTGACCATATCGATCAATATTTTTGCAAAATCAATCGATATTATTCACTGTTCCTGGCCAAAGATTGGCTTTAGTTATGTAAGAGGTGGCATTAACAAAAATAGTAGTGGCGTAGAGTGTTAAATGCACTATGTAAATCAAATTTATGTATAGTCTCATAGTGAAAATTAAATTTTGGCAAATTTTATCAAATTTTATGTAAGGAAGACATGGGTATTATGGTACAGGGGGGTATTGTGGTACACTTATATTTTTTGACAATATTTTGCGATTTACTGATTTGAATTGAATGATTTTAGTACAACTTGATTTGTCCCACAAAGAGGAATCGAATAATACGAAAAATTAATTAATTTTTTCAAAAATTGAGGAACAATTAGCTTTTGAGATACAGTTATTACGCTATTTTTTGTTTTACCTATTCAGGTAATAAATTAGTGAAGTACGAAGTACAAAAAAGGTTACAAAAAGAGTTTATGAATAGAAAATTAAGATAATATGGAAACTAACTATCATGTGGATCACTTGCTGTGGCGTGAACTTGAGGCTAGGATAAGTAACTCTACTTATTCTACTCAGTATTTTTATAAATAATAGTCTGACTTAATACTAATAAATTATTTCTTTTCTTTATTCTTGTGTGGTGAGGATCCAATATTAGGCTTCAATCATAAAGATTGTCATGTATCACGTGGGTTATGACGATAACGAGCAATGAATCACAGAGATAATCAATAAGCAAAAAGTATAAAATGGTAAATAATAAGAATTGGCTTCTTTTATTTTCTCTTTTTTTGATGAATAACAATCTTTTAACAATTGTGGGACAGGAGAATAATATGGCGAACTACTTCAATGTGACAGAGACATCACTTTTATATATTTTATATTCTTATTTTACTTTATAAAATAGTTAACCCACCTAGCCAATCCATTTAATTAAAAAAAAACAAATTGATTTTAAAAAAATAAAAAATAAAATCCCAGCTATTGCCAATTCAAAATCGCAAAGGCTATTTACACCATTATCCCAATTCAGGAGTTTGATCCCTTCCTTTTATTTTGATATTTTCTAGTCTGGATTCTTCTTTTTTTTCTAGTTCGGGTTCTTCTTTTTCCATTTTGACATCTTCTAATTTATATTCTTTATTCCTCGCTTCCATATTAACTCTTCTTCTATACTCTTGATGTAGTTCGATGAACTTATTTTTTTTTTTTGTTTTGAAGATCTAAAATGTATGCATTTTTTTTGAATTATTTGCATGAGGCCGTCTATGTCTAGGCGGCATTTTAGTAAAATAAGAAGGTGGATTAGTGATTTAAAGAAAATTAGATGATATTATATAGAAAATTTTTGCATTGAATGTATCATTATAGTGCAGATTATATACAATTGTTAATATGTTTTAAACAAATTACAACTCAAAATTTCTTTATTAAAATAGTAGATATTCCCATATCTTCGCGAAATAATATGCATGCTATTATTTAAAAATTGTTCCTTAAAAATTGTCCCTTAAAAATTGTCTCTTAAAAATAGTATGCATAATCTTAAAATAAGACCCATACATGTCTCGCTCCGAATAGACTTCAATGGATAAGAATCAAATGAGTTTTATTGATTCTATTTAAGTCTTTTAAATAAAGATTTGTATTCTTGCTTGAAGCGCTCTATAAATAAATAGATTATCGTGATTTGCAAAATTTTGAATCCCATTAATTGTTTGAGTGATGACCATTACTTCACGATTGATTGTGATTGTGATAAAATGTTTCCATTATATCAAAAATCCTTTGAGGTTGAGATTGGGTTAGAACTTATTCTTAAAAGGTAATTTGGCGCTCTTACAAGTAATAGAAGTATTTTACTGCATCACACCTAATTGTGATTGTGGCACTTCTATTACATGTAAGAGCACCAAATGAACAAGTCCTAATTAATCTGCTAAAATAATCGATCAAAACTCAACTCAAAGGATTTTTGATATAATAAAAACACCTATCTTCTTCACAATTAATTGTAAAGTAATAATCATCACTCAAATAATCAGAATTGACCAGGGCAGCCATCAAATTTACTGTTATATGAGCAGCATTATCTAGGTTTAATATGCACAATTCAAATATGCAGAGTTGTAACAATAGCACTATAGTGATAGATCAGGGCTTAAACGACTATATTTGGAGTCAAAAGAGCAGTACACAAACTACCTAATTACCTCAAAACTATATACAAAACCAACTAACCACCTAATTTACCTGATATATAGAGGCGAGAAGATTTGGTAAAGCAAGGTGTATCGGGTATAAGGTGGAAACCAAAAATAACTCCGCTATATTTTTTATGCAAACATGTAGCTTATTTTATTAGAGGGTGAAAAGAGCCCAATTTATAACAAATTTTATATGCAGTGGGAAAAAAAAAACAAGATCAAACTACTCTAAACCCGACAAGCATGCCACTTTTGGCTTTGCTTGGCTCTCTGTTTATAAACAGATAAGCTTTTTATGGGCTTACTCCTGACGCCACATCTCTCTTTCTTTCTTTCTATGAGCTTGTGGCTTCATAAGAACAATTTCCTGTAGGACTCCAGATCAAGTCTTTCATTATGTTTTAGGCCTTGTGATACAGTATCGAATTCAGCATAGCTAATTTCAGCAGTTTTGCCACTAGCAACATCTTATTGTTTACTATACCAGCTGGCATTTCGGTTAAGCTCTGCAATAAATCTAGTACTAATTCATCTACTACAATTACAACAGGTGGCGCTACTCACATAACAGGAAATTTGATGGCAATAATTGTTCTAACACTCTAATTTACTTGAGCTTTTTTTAGCCATTATTAACTAGATTAGCGATGGGAATTTTTAATTGTTAACTATATAAATCATGTTAACAATTAAATTGTTAAAATGATTTTATATATAAATCATTTTAACAATTAAATTGTTAACATGATTTATATAGTTAACAATTAGAAATTCTTATCACTAAACTAGATACAGTTGTAGATAGTAATAGGTAGAGTATCCAGGGTACTGCAGTACATAACTCTGCTTATGCTAAAAATAATTTTTTATATTGTTCTTATAAGAGACATATGATTTAAATCACCTTTTAAATCAAATTACAATGTAAAGAAATATTTTTAGCATAAGCAGAATTACTAACCGCAGTACTCTGGACACTTTAGTGATGGGACCTCTGAGTTTTTAATTAATAATGAAAAATTAATAATGTATTATTAATATTATTAATAGTTAATAATCTCAATCATCGCTAATAATATCAATATGATAAATTAAATAAACTACTAACAGATTTAGTCCACAAATATCTCAGAAAATATTGACACTAGAGTGTCTAGGATACTGTGGTGCATAATTCAGCTCATGCTAAAAATACTTTTTTATATTGTATTTTGATTTAAAAAGTGATTTAAATCACATGTTTTTATAAAAACAATATAAAAAATTATTTTTAGCATAAGCAGAATTATGCAACGCAGTACTCTGAATACTCTAATTGATGTAACTTTTTGTTTTTTTATATGCTCTATACAAAATTAGCTATGCTATATATTTTTAAGTTAATAATTTGATCAATTAATTATTAATAATTCAGGAGGTCTAACATTATTAGCTATAGATAAACAAACCTACCTATAGTCTAACTCAGAAAATTACATTGGTATTATTACAATTTTAAAATTCTGTAATCTCTTGCTGATTGTCCAAAAAAGAAATCACTTATTGTTAGGTAATTATTGAGATTTTTATTTCATAAAACTATTATTTTTTTTTTTCTAACATGAATTGGTGTACTAAACTATTATTTTTATATCACAATATCAGAATAGTTTTAAGAAACTAAATCACAAGTAACCACCTAACAATGAGCGATTTCTTTTGGATAATCTGTAAGAGTCACTTAATTTTGCTAACTATAAATAATTGCAAGTATAATCGCGATTGCATTGTAATTGTAACTCAAACAATTGTAAGATCATAAAAAAAATATATAAAATAGCTTAAATTTGAACAATTAGAAAAAAGTAAATAGTCATAAGTTAAACTTTCTTAATAAACATATTACATGATCTGGCACTAATAAAAAAAAGTCAAATATGATCGAGACTTTGTTAATTAGCTCAGAAGAACTGCAACTCAAGAAATATATTGAAAATATCAATAACAAACCGTAAAATGAGTTTTAAATCTAAAAACATTAACTGTGATATGCATTTAAAAGTAGTTGAATCTGCTTTTAAAGCACTTGCTAGCTCCAAAAAATCTAACATTTGGGCAATTGCAAGAAATTTGGAATTGCTACAATGACTTTAAGTCATGCTGTTAAAAATAGGTTGCCCAACTATCTTGGTCCTTCAACGATTTTAAACACTCATGAAGAAGAACAATTAGTAGGATATTGTAAAAATATGCAAATGTTAGGTTTGGCCTTACATGATCTGGTGTAAATTGTTGTGTGATGGATATTTTAAGAAGTAGCAATTGTGTTTATCCTTTTAAGAATAGTGGATCTAGCCAGGCCTGGTGGAAATGTTTTATGAGAGACCATCCTGATTTGTCTTTTCGCATACCTCAGGCCTTGTCGGAGGCACATGTGCAAAGAGCCAATCCCACTATTGTTAAGGACCATTTTGATAGGCTTGATAAATTAATTTAAGAACATTCACTTACCGCAAACAGAATTTGGAACATGGATGAAATGGGGTTTGTTATATCTCCCAAAATACAAAAAGTCATCGCTACAAAAGGCTCTCGCCAAATCTATAAAGTAACACATGGAAATACCCATGACTATATTTCTGTTGTCCCAACAATTTCAGCTGCTAGCAACTATATACCACCTTTAATTATTTACAAGAGTATTCATGCAATTCTGAATTTGTTAAACGGTGCCTTAGCTAGCACTGTTATGGGCTTTACCGACTCAGGATATATGCGGGAAGACCTATTTCAGATGTATATCGAGCACTTTATTAATTCTATTCCTTGTTAGTGCCCTGTTCTTTTAATACTTAATAGCTATAAAAGCTATGTAAATTATATAAGCGTCAGTTTTTGTTATGAAAATGGAATTCTGTTATATGTCCTCCCCCACATACCATGCATATTTTTTAACCATCCGAGCTTCCCTTCACCAAACTTAAAACCAAATATAGCAAAAGTTGTACAAACCTTTACAATAAATATTGTGAATTAGTAACAAAGCATACATTTACCAAAATGGTTTGTTCAGCATTTATAAATACTTACACATCTAAAGCGATTACTAACACTTATGGAGTTACAGGAATTTGGCCTTTTAACCCTAACACTATTAGTCCAGACTGTCTTGATCCCTCTTTATCTACAGAATGAATTGATATTTTACCTTTATCCCAAGAACTTCCTTCAAATACCGTGTCATCTTTTTAATTAAATTTATATTCATCTACATCATCTTCTCAACTAAATCTATATTTCTCTATGTTGTCTTCTCAACCCATTCATTTTTCCTCTATATCGCCTTCTCAGCCCATTCATTATTTCCCTACATTATTTTTACAACTGATTCATTATTTTTCTATTTTGTATTCTCAACCAGATCATTATTCCACTCCTACTGAAGAGAACAAAATATTAAAATCGGTGATTAGCTCTCTAGAAAAAGAAATTAAGATTTTAAAAGATGAAAATATATCTGTAAAAAGAAGTTACATAATGGTACAAGAAGAACTTGAAACTTACAAAAACCCAGGTACTTGTCCACTAAAGCTAGTACTTAAGTATCTCACTTCTCGGGTTCCAATGCAAGCTAATGAGCCAAAGAGTTAGCTGTTAAAAAAAGGAAGACCTTGCTGTTTGCCCGACTCCTTACTAATGAAGAATCTTTACCGGCACTAAAAGAAATGAATGAATTAGCAAAAGACAAGGCAGAAAATGCCAAAAAAAGAAAAGAAACTGCTGCTTAAAAACAAGCAGATAGAGAGGCAAAAAAAATGCAAAAAAAAAGTTGAAATCGAACAAAAAAAAGAACGATTGCGTAAAAATAAAAAATAAGATAAGAATACATGGATTTATTTGATACGTATTGATATATATATCGATATGTAGTACACTATAGTGATAGTAGTGTATATCGATATACTATATTAGTAGTGTACCATAATACCCCCAACCTCAAAAAACATACTAGTTTTTTAGACGATTTTTTAAAGTCTAGAATATCAAGTTTTTTCTAAAAAGTGTGGGGTTTTTTTTTATCATTAGATGGTAAATTGAATGTTATGTTAATTAAACAAATCTTGTAAATAAATATGCTTTTTATAAAAATTTTTACTATTAGCAACTCTTAAG